CCTTTTGTTGTGAGGGTTTAGAGATCTACATTTTCCATTAAGTTCCACAGGTAACGTTACTTCTTTCGAAACAGTTAATAATTCGCCATTTGCTAATTGAACAGAGCCAATTTTCTCACTGATGGGGATATTTAATTATTTAATTAATTCAAGGCAGAGAGGTCCAATAAAAATACTAGAGGCTCCACAGTCTACTAGGGCTTTTACTGCATGATTTCCAATAATGACTGTTACATGTAATAAAGGTTCATGACTTGAAGGTGACGAAGTAGGGTAACTTAGATCGGAAAGATTAAAACAAGTGTCACGTGGAATTTTAAAAGTATTTTCTATACAAGGGTCGTTTTCATGAGATGATTTATTTTCTTCATGAGGGTTGATTAGTGCATCATTTGATTCATCTGAATGGGGAGGGGTCACGGTTTCATTTGTTTCAATTGGGTCTGTGTGACTCACTATATCAGATGTATGTGTAAATTGTAAAGAATCAGAGTTATTTTTCGTGCTATAATTTTCATTATTTTTGATCTCATCTAACTCTTTTTGATCAATAAAATATCGACCAGTTTCACAATATATAAAGATGTCAAGATCTTGAGGGCTATAAACACCATTAATTTGAGAAATATCTGTTTCAAGATTTAGACATTCTATTTCCACTTTGTTTATAATTTTCTTATTTTTCAATTTTTGTTTTTGATTGATTATAGGGTAACGGCACCAGTGAAGGAACTGACACCAGTGAAAGAACAAATTTCATGTTTTGCATTCTAATTAGTGTAATAAGCAATTTGGTATTATAAATTATATATTTTTATGTTCCTTATTTAATTTACGTCTTTAGTATCTAAGATACCTAGAGAGTTAACACGTAAATTTTATAAAAAAAATTTTTTAAAAATGTTGTGTTGCAAATTTATCTTCAACAATAAGCACTCTTCTCTGACACGTTATTTCTTTTTTCACATTTAACTAATTTAAATTGCCTTAAATCGTCGGTCTTCTTTAAACTAAATTTATCTTGTGTATTAGAAATACTTCTTTTCATTTAAAAGCTAATAAAATATTAATTTGCCATAAGAAAAGCAAATTCCGTCATTGGGGGGTTTTTTTTTTATTTACTAGTGAAAGAACAGAAATGTTTTTTCACTGGTTCCAATGCAATCCAATGAAGGAACACCTTCAACGAATAGTCTGAAGTCAAACAAAAAAATGACAAAATCAAATAGGTTAACACTGTTAGGTTACAATAATATTGTCAAAATAAATTGCAAGTAGATGATTGATTGTAGGTTATAAATGCATTTTCAATTAAAAATAAGATTCTGCAAACTTAGTTAAAAAATATTCATAATTATCATTAATTTACCTTTATTTTAGTATATTACAAACATTTTATTACTTTATCTTTGTTTTAATATATTTTTTAAATATATTTTAAATATATATTTCACATCGTTCTTTCACTGGATGCAGAAAATTCTTTCATTAGACAATTTGTTCTTTCACTGGTGAAATAGGTATGTTTTACTTATTAATTAAAATTTTAATTAACATCTTATATTTATGACTTATTTTAAATTTGAGAGGATTTATTATAATGTTTCGTATTATCCTTAGTGGGTTGTTGTTCAATCATTTATATTTCTTATAGATTATCTTCTTCAGGATTAACCTCCTCTCTTTCTTCTTCTTCTTCCTCTAAGAGATTCAGATTTTCTCTTCTTCTAGGGTTTGATTTAATAGTTGGGCCATCATAAGCTAAATCTAGTAACAATGAGCCTTCAGGTTTTGGTGGGGGACGATAGTGTTTTGCTACTCTGAATGATTTTTCAGTAGCTACTGCTATCTGTTCAAATTGAGCGAAGTTTCTTATTGATGCTCTGGGGATTGTAAGGTGTAGGCGTGGTAACAGATTTGTATGTGCAAAGGTGATTTGTTCATATTCGGGTAATCTTGGTGTTAATCTGTCAAATATTGATAACATACATGTTAAAAAATCTGCAACTAGTTCGTATTCTCCTTGAGTCCTTCGATGTATATCTTGCATTAACTCAAATTGAAAGTCTGGATCACTGAATCTAACTCTGCAATCGATAGCAAAATCTTCAAAAGAGAGCCATTGTTCTCTATGTACTTCATACCAACGGGTAGCTATTCCAGTTAAAAAGAATGGTAGTAAATTCAAAAGATCTTCATCTCTTATATAGATCATAGATCTACCACTTGAGATTCTTCTTCTAAAGGAATCTGGATCTTCATTACGTGAGCCAGAAAATTTCAGACCTCACCTGCGCATGATATCATACGCTTGAGCAGCACTATTTTTGTAATTTCTTTGAGGAGGTGACTCAATGTTGCGAGATGGTTCCAGTCTGACGTATTGTTTCAGACTGCACAATATTATTCGCGTTAGGTTCCACAACAATTGCTGCAGCGCCATCAACGGAATTATCGCGCATCTGAATTATCGTTTGGCCATTCGCGTTAATTGATGTTTCGCTAACGGCTGTCTCGGTAGAATCACTATCGCGTCTATCTAATGGAGGGTCATTGTTTGGTTCATTTACTACAGGTTCTGATGTTTCACCCCTTCGTGTGCGTTCGTAATGACGTAGACGTCTTCGTTGCTCATCCGAGGTTCCTGGTATCAAAAGACCTCTGATGGCTAATTCCATCTCTGATTCTCTTGGATGGAGATTATCTATCCAATTCCGCGAGTGATGGTGCATATTAGCGGTTTTTCTAAAAATATATATTGGGTCTCTGATAGAAAAAAAATGATTTCTCCTTTCGTAAAGTTTCATAATGTAGTTTTTAATGGCTTAAATAATTTTTTAAGCTATGTTAATCGTTGTAAAAAATTATTTTATAAATAATGAACAGTCAGACAACAAAGTAATTAACCCAAAAAAAAATTTTAGTTTACACTATTAAATGTTCAAAACAAAAAAATGCTTGTAATGTAAATTCATTCACTGTTTTTGGTCAATGATTGACTCAACAATGGATAGATAAATTCTTATGTAAATTAAGTACCTATATAAACAACAGGATAGATAAACTATAACTATTGTAAACCATTATATTCCAGGACAAATTATTTTATTCTCAATGGGTAAAAATTGCAACATTTCTAATATTCAAGAATTATAAATAATACATTGTCCTTTTTTTTAATAAAAAAATATAATTTATTTTTTTAATTTCTAATTTATTTGATTTACTTGGTATTATTTTATTGTAAGTCATAATAGGGAACTTGTAAATTTTTGCAATTAAATATTACAATGGCATTGTTCTTGGCGAACGTTAGAAACGGAATTAGAGAGAGAAAAATATCTCCGTCCTTAGAAAATAATTTAAATGTAATTGGCTATTTGAAAATAGACGCCGCAAAAAATCCAAATAGAGGGAGAAATTGTCGGTAAGAAATACATGGGAGAAGCGCCCAGCGTAAAGTGGTGAGGGAAACTCGCGGATTTTCGCTCAATCAATTTGAAATTCCTTACTCATACACTCGCACATTTTGAATTTTACTTACCCCAGAAAATTAAGGGTAGGGACGCAACTGTATAAGCCAAGTAAATGCGTGCTTCTGTCTCTTTTGTTTGAACAGTTTTAAACTGGTAAGAGCTTTCTTCTATATTTTATTATAAAGAAATTTCAGAACTATATAATCTACAAAGTCAAGTCTTTTAAACTTGAGAAATGCAGATTGTTGGGGGCTTTCTAACGATCTCTACCTAAACGATCTGCATCTCTGGTCGAGAAAGATAAAAAGGACTAAATTGTAATTAAAAATAAAATTTGTTTAATAATTGTTGATTTTGGGAGACCAATTGTTAGGGGCTCTCTAACGATTTCTACCAATACGATTGGTCCTTCCTAAATTAACAATAAAAAATTGCTTAAGAGGAAAGTTTGTTGTCAGGAGCTCTCGAAAGATTTCTACCAACACGACTACATAAACAAATTGCAAATCGATTTTTAATTGTGAGATTATCACAAAATCAAGGTGTGTTTGTATTTATTTTTATTTATTTATAATTCCTAAGTTAAAAGTAAGTTTTATTCTATTCAGAATTGAGAGAATTAATGAGGAAAGACTCACAATCGTTTATATAAACAAAGAAAAACTATATTGTCAGATAGATTGTTTATTTACATTACTCAAATAAAAATAATTAATTCTTTTATTTATTATTATTTTCTTAGCATCAAATTCTTTGAAACGATAAACAATCAATTGTTTAAACAAGTAAAAGAATTTTGAAAAGTTAATAACAAAAGCTAAAAAACTAAATAATTATTGGAAAGATTCCTCTAATTTAGTTTGGAAAGCGATAAATAATTTAAAATAAAAGAGAAGAATATTGATATATATAAGTATAATATAGAATTTGGAAAAGCAAAAAAAAGATAAACACTAACGTATTTTCATTCATAAATTTCACTACACGTTTACAATCTTATCTGATGATATAGTTAGCACGTGTCTCATTACATTGAATAATAGAAATTAAGAACATAAAGTCCCTTTAAATTTTGACAATACTATTGTTCCTTTTGTATTAAAGATAATAGAATGTGGGTGATACTTCCCTAAACATTTATGTTTACAATCTATCGGCCACATGTTTGAACTCGTTTGCTTCTCAGAATCGATGTATCACATAAATTTAATTAAATAAGAATAAGAAATTACATAATATATTAATAATCCCCGGACTGAGAGCTTATGAATGCTTCAACGTGTTCAAGCAAAAAGTAAGAAAAAGCAAAAAAAGATATTTAATAAAATTATAAATTTAATCATTATCATAACAAAAATTAGAAATTAATTAAAGAAAAATAAATAAAGCATTATTTTAAAGAAATAATGTTCAAACACTAATTTTCTTGAACACGAGGCCGGCCGACCATTATTAGAAAAATCTAATATTTTACATTTTATAACAAAGAAAAGGAATATTTACGAATGTTGCGACATTACTCACTTTTTCTATTAAAGAAAATCACATCCAAAAGAAGGTCCTCGATAGCTCACACACTTTTCACTAACGAAAACTATTTTAATCAAAAAAAGAGATTTACAAAGAATGTGCGACTTTCGCCAATGATTGCCAAAAAGCAAGAGAGCGAAGAAAGTCCTCGTTGCCGGCACGATGCGTCGTCCGCCTTCCCCACTTACCCCGCCGGTAGCCACCAAGGCAACAAGTGTTACAGCGTCAGGAGCGTAGTTGCTAGAAAAAGTAGTTACCCCAAAGTAAACTACACAATGTTTTCTGTTTTCTTTTGCTATAAATTTCCATCCTTGTCTTCCATGCCGTCAACCTCCGAGAATTTAGTGACGAACTCAACTCCCTTAATTACGATTTCTCAAAAATCAAAGATATTGATTCAGGTTGAGAAAAATGTATAATTACTCGGGCACTGGCTAAAGGTTGTCTCCACTGGAACGGAGATATTGCACCCACAATTTGTTCTTTCTTCACCACTTATATATATTATTATCGCTAACGGTTATTTATACTTAATAATCGCCTACCTAACAGAAAATCTTCGAACGCTGGAAATTGAACGCACACCCTAAAACTGATAGATCGCAACCCTAACCATCTAACTACACAACGCATTCTGCAAGAGCTTGTATAATAGTCAATAATATTTTTCATTTCGAATAAAACTGACGCATGCTCAATTCTACAAAGTTTTTTGAACAGTAGGATAATTTTCTTAAACTTGTATTGAAAATTTATCTAGAATCATCTTTCTCATAAGTATTAAAAATGTTTAGGTTTTGTATAATGATAGTTTCGTAAAGTGTAATATTAATTTTAGTACTTTTGAACGTATTTATTTCATTGTATAATAATAGTTATAAGCTACAATTTTTTTAATACGTCTCAAACATTTTATCATACACATAATAAAATTGTTTACAAATCTTAAAAGAAACTACTATAGAAACTGAATTACCGACCACATGTGATAATAAAAATTTTCCTTTCACGGTAAGTAAAGTTATAGTTATGCATTGGTTAAATTACTCATTCCTAGGGCTAAACTATGTGCAAATTACAGCCCGATCCGATCAACTTTTTTTTCACTTAGTTCGCTACAGGAATTTTACCCCATTTATAATATATAGTCGCGTCCTGGCATCAACTTCAAAAAACGATCATCATGTCACATTCAATTCAAAATCTATATTCCAGCAGAAGCATATTCAAGGTGACTATAGTGACATCTAAGTATTTATGCATAACTATAACTTTACTTACCGTGAAATCGAACTTTTTATTATCACATACGGTCGGTAATACAATTTCTATAGTATTTGACAACACTATTGAGATTAAATATAATTTTTATTATTATTAATTAATTCCCTAGCGGATCGAGGGGATTTTGATGAGTCTGAAAACCCTCTTAGAGAACTGTAAAAAAATTTTGCTAAAAAACAATGCACAATAATTATTATTTAAGTAAAAAAATGAATTGATTATGATAAATTAATGTTTTAAGAATATATTAGTAAAATTATTGCGATAAATTAAGCTGAAATGAATTAATAATTAATTTTTAAAGTGGACGATACATACCTGGCGAATTGAACAGTAAATAATATTTGATTATTTTCCATATGTTCGTATATAATTATTTGAAAACTTATTTGTTTTCAAAAAAGTTGTGATTAAAGATTTAAAAAATAATTTTAGTTAAGCAGATTATTGCTTAATAATTAATTAAAGTGTAAAGTTTGTGAAATATTAAGCGACTTTACCGGCAGTCGCAGTCTTCAAACAGTTGGAGTGAACGAGTTATCATGAGAATTTGATTGCGCATGAACTACCAGATGTCGCACCAAGCGATTTCTTTGAAAGATTTTCAGATTATTTAGATCCAATGCAAAAGAAATCATTCATGAGCATGAACCAATAGATACCCCAAAGGTAGTTTCCTATTATGTACTAACTTCTATCTTTAACTAAATTGTGAACAATAGCATAATAGAAAGTATTTAATAAATTGAGGAGTTCTCTTAAAAAGTTTAAAATACAGTTAAACATTTTTTCAGGGCTTAGAAAAAATTTTCAAGATTTATTTTTAAATTAAGAAGATAAATATAAATGAAACTATAAAACATATAAAAATTCGAATGAGCATTAAAAAATAATCATGGGGACTGCCACGTGAAGAGATCCAAAAAGGAAAAAGTTTTTCTCTAATCACGTACTAACTCTGATGGGCATTTGCAGTACTAGACTAGTTATTAGTTTTAGGTAAAATATTTTTACAATTTGTTGACTTTTTTTGGATGGGGGGGGGTAATTTTGGGGGTTTACAAAACACAGCATAGGGAGCGTTCGTAAATGATGTCACGCACTGAGGGGGAGGGGGGGTTTGCTAAACATGTATTTTTTCTATAAGAAAATATAGTAAAATAGCGTGACAGGGGGGGTAGGGGTAAAAAATCTTGAAACAGTGTGTGACATCATATGTGAATGTTCCCACATTATTAAAACAAATTAAAGAAATATTTTTCTCATACAGATACATTAAAGACACAAAGTCTTTTTTTCAAAAAAATGAACAATGTTTTTAGTCGATTTTGTCAATTTTTGTTTTATAGAATCATGAAAAGGGACTTTACATGATTCTATACCGAAAATAAAAAAGTTGGATTATCTTAAACATTAGAACTGTTGACGTTCTTGATCTTGTTGTTATAAACAATTTAGTGGATTAATTTCAGATGGCTTTTTTCTAACTTTTAGTAATTGAAAACCATATAATTTGTTGTATTTGAGATCTAACAGCAATTACCAGTTCAGTAGTTTTTGTAAATTAATGATTTTTTAATTTAAAAAATTGTTGCTATCAGACATTGTAAATTTTTTTTATATACGCGTAAATTTTTTTTTTCATTTTTAAATTTTTGTTTGAAAGTTAAAGAGGTGTATTTTCACTAAACAAAAAATATTGACAAAAAAATATTTTGTTTATATAAAATTATTATTAAAAATATAAAAATTATTTAATTAATTTTTTTTTGTTAAATATTATAAAAATACATTATCTTTAAAGAAACTTTATAAAAACCGAATCTGAAACATGTAAAAACAGCGGTATTGTGTATTTGTTAATTAAGGGTTGTGTATAAAAAATGCTATATGTAAAAATTAATTATTAAAGTATAAGTACAGTGGAACCTAGATTATCCGAACCGAAAAACATTTCATTCGAACTTCTATTATCTGAACTATTTTTTGGTCTCCCGAATTGTAAATTTTATTTTCTCTGTTTATTTTATCATTCATATTTTCGCGGGACATTTTTAGCGTCCCTTGCTACTGCTGAGAAGAATGCGTGATTTGGCATCTAAAAAATGAATAGATGCTATCTTTCAAAGCAAAATAACCAAATTTATGCCAAAGAAATCTTAAAAATTTCAGAATTTTCTGAGTTTTTAATATATTATTAATTAATATATATTTACACATATGTATATACTTATGTATATTTAAAAACATATGTATTAAGTTAAATATATAGTTCAACTGTACATTTTTTTACTTTAATTATTAAAAAAAATTAAAATCTCTATTATCCGAATTTTCGATTATCCGAACCCGGCCTTGCCTAGATTAGTTCGGATAATCGAGGTTCCACTGTATTAGTCATTTACCTTGACTAATAATATAGCACATTTTGAGCAATATGGCATTAATTTCGTAATTAGGAACTGGAATCATTAAAATTGTTTAGGGGTCGTGCACATAATACGTCACGCAAACAGGGGGATGGGGGGTCTAGAGATTTGTGACGAACCATATAGAAAAAGTGGCGCTAATGTATGGAACCAAGTGTGTCATAGGGATGGGGGGGTCAAAAAAGGGTAAAAATTATATGCACGTCCCCTTAAACAATTAAAAATAATTATTTTATAATAACTACACTGAAAAAAAAATTTATTTGATTCAAATAACTTGAATTATTTGAATCGCATTTATTTGAACCAAATAAATCGTATTTGGTTCAATTAAATAATTAATTCAATTGAATAAATGAATTTATTTAATACAAATAATGAGTTACTTGAAACTATTCATTCATTTATTTCACTCAAATATTTCGTTTATTTGGTACAAATAAAAAGTATTTGACACAATAAATTTATGTAATTGATTTAAATTAACTGAATTATTTAATACAAATAATTCGTTATTTAATCCTAATACACTATTTTATTAAGACAAATAAAAAAAAATATTTCAATCTATTAAATATTTATTTAAAACGATAATAATGATTTACTTCAAACAATTTATTTATTTATTTCACTCAAATATTTCTTTTTATTGAAACAAATAAAAAGTATTTGATACAATAACTTTATTTAATGGATTCAAGTAAACTAAATTATTTGATACTAATACACTATCTTATCAAGACAAATAAAAAAATATTTCAATCAATTAAATATTTATTTGAAACGATAATAATGATTTACTTGAAACAATTAATTTATTTATTACACTCTACTATTTCATTTTTTTGATACACATAAAAAGTATTTGATACAATAAATTTATTAATTCTAATTAATTAAATTATTTAATATAAATAATGCGTTATTTAAATAATACACTATTTTATTAAAGGAAAATAAAATACTTTGATCAATTAAATATTTAAGTGTAGTGAGAATAATCAGTTATTTGATACTATTCTTTTATTTATATATATTATTTAATAATATTTTAAATCCAAAAGTCAAATAATTTTTCCATAAACAAAAAATTAATGTTTACAATGATTCAGAACAACGAAAAACGCGTTTTTAATAAAAATATATTTACACTTTTTTTTAAAATAACACACTCACATATGATCGAATAGCAAAATTTTCCAAGTCAAAAATTCAAATATTTTTTCATCTACAAAAAATTAATATTTACAATGTTTGAGAACAACAAAAACGGCATTTTTAATAAAAATATATTTACATTTTTTTTGAAAATTCTGAGTTAGGTAGTTAGTTAGTTAGGTATTTTGCAAGTTCAAATGACATCAAGAAGTTAACATTCGTTTTTACGTAGCGTGCGTAGCGTAGTTGGTAAAGCGTTAGACTCATAATAATCCGTAGTATAGGTCGTAGGTTCGAT